TTTTTTTTTTTTGTCTTTTTTTTTTCACTTTTTTCGTTTTTCCACATATTTTTTCTTCCATACAAATAAATATTTCTTATTCCTAAGAAAAAAAAATTTTTTTATGTCTATCTTTTGTATCATTTTTTTTCATTCATTTTCTTTTTTCTCGAATAGCAGTTACTTTTGCTGCTACTTTTTTTCGTCGTTATTGTTGTATTTTGCGTTCTGAGCATAATCAGAAAACTTTTGGCTATACTTTCAAACATAAAGTAATGATTGTCGTTGGTTGACAACAAAATTCAATGAAACAGGGGAAGGCGTTGGAAAAGAGAAAACGAGACTAAAGGGAACAGTGGAATTCCATATGGTAAAAGAGGGTAATGAATGGTAGGCTGAGAGAGAAGACAAAAGTTTAGGTGAGAAATTGGCAAGATGTGGAAGGCAAAAACCGTGTGCTTAGAATGAGTAATGATGGATACATCTGGAGAAATTTGAGGTATGCCATTGATGTTTACAGCCTTACAGTAGGCTAACAGCTAATCATTTATTATCGACAAAGATTAGTGTTCATTTGTTACTTCAGTCTGCGCTACTGTAACACTAATTGTCTGTCTACTGGACGCTCGCTGTCACTTCGATGATATTCAAAATCCTCTATCTGCTAAGGATTAATCCGTTGCCTCATCGAGCAGCAGCGCTGTTGTGACAAAGACCATTTAGCACTTGAACAGGCGACAACAAACTAATGACAACATCGATATCGGAAAGCGTCGGAAGGGAGAAAAAAATTGAAAACAGTCGTTTTTTCTTCTGCTTTTTTTTTTACCAGAATATTATTAACTGTAAAGAGAGAAAAAAAAATACCAAAACGAAATCAGAAAGAGCGAAAAAATGCTAGTGCTGTTTTTTTTTCTGGTTTTGAAGGAAGTCTTTACCGCAGGGCGGAGCCAAAATGGAACGGAGCATGAAACAGTAGTTATTTTGGCGTTTCTATCATCATCATCATCATCGTCGTCGTCATCATCATCATCAGCATCGTCATCATCACCACTACCATCATCATCGCGATCACCATCATCTTCATCATAATCATAATCATAATCATTCTAATGTTTGAAGATTGCAGCCTGTTTTGGTTTTTCTCCGCTTTTGTATCATAAACTTTTTTTTCACAATACGGTTCCAATCTTTGATTGCAACTATCTCGTTCTAAAGTCTGGTATTGCTCATTTTTCTTTTTTCAGTTAAGAAGAAAATAGAATAAAGATCTCTTCCACTTCTCCTCCCCACTTTCCCATCTTCGAGAAAAAAAAACCACTATTTTTTTCTTTTTTTTGTTCAATTCCTTCCAGTTTATCATCGCATTGCTGAACACGGTAACATAACACTTATTGACAGCTGTTTTTTTTCTGTTGTACCGACAGCTATTTTTACTGCCGCTGATTATTACTACAACTGTCACTATCGCTGTTTGTAAACTGCTTTCGTTACTATCGTTTAAAACCTATCATTGTCATTACGGTCATTAGCTTTATGATAATTATTATTAAGATTGTTGTAATTATTATTGGGCGGGCAAAAATTTCTAAAAAAAAATGATAATGATTCCTTAAAATTTTTGTATTATTATTTTTATCGTAGTAAAATTGCACTTTTGTTTTGTTTTGTTTTGTTTTGTTTATTCTTTGAAATTATTGTACATTTTTTTACAGACGTATACGTTTGCGTAAAAAAATTTTTTTTTTATGCTTGGACAATGGTCTTCGGTTTTTTTTTTCTTCTATATCGTCTAGGAATTTTTCACATGCCTAAATGTTAGAAACCCGCTTTTGATTATTCGAACGTTTGTTCTTTTTTTTTTCTTCTGATTTTTTTTCTTCTGCTTTAAACATTTATTTATTGCTTAGGTTTTTTTCAAATACAACAGCACCTATCTATCCATTATTCATCTACCGGTTCATATATCCACCTATTTTCACTACAGTTTGGACAGTTAAAATTTTTGTCTCTATGTGTATGCGTATACTTATGTGGGGTGTGTATTGATAGTTTCAAGAATCATTTATCTGCCTGCACTGTTTGCTGTGAAGCAATCTGCAGAGCGCTCTTTTGTAGTCATCAAAAGAGTCTGGAATTTTCTGAACGCAAACTTTATACGCTAAACCATCTTGAAACTTGGAACCAAACCAGACTAGGCTAAGCTAAAAGCTAAGCTAAACTAGGTAGTGGGTAAGGCAACAAATTCGGATCGACTTCAGTCACCGAGCACAGTAGCAGTAACAGTTATGGAGGAGCAACAGAAGAACCAAGAAGGTGAGGAGATCTCGAGCTATGTTTCACAGTTGCATGTTGTTCCTGCAGTTGATGCTGTCGAAGCCGGTAAAGGGCAACTGGAGATTAGCGTAAACCAGGGGAAGGTACCGAACAATGTACAGATGCAGGGAGCTGGCCGATGTCTGGTGACGTTCATACCGCAATTTCCGGGACAGTATGTTATCGATGTCACCTTCAATGGCGAACAAGTTTATGGTATCCAATTTATTGCTCTTCGAACTTTTTTTTTTTGCTTTTTTTTCCTCATACAGTGCTCAATTTGAAATTTTTTTCTGTTTTTTTTGTTTTTTTCTGTTTCTTCATCATTTTCTGATCTTTCGATTGCTATTACAGCATTTGAACGTAACAAGAAAGAAACTCTTTTTTTCTTATATTTGTAAAGAAGAAAAAAATTTTTTTAAAGATCAACGAAAGAACAGTGTTAAAAATTTGTAATACAAATATAACTTATACATTGGAAGCATTCGTTTATAAGAATTGAGAGAAAAAAATTGAATTTTGAAATTTTTTAATGTACAAATATTTTTTTTGGTAGTTGTCAAAAGAAAAAAATGCTTGAAAAATTGGGAAGATTCATTGTGTATTTTGAGAAGCGGAAAAAAAAAAGAAACTGATATGAAAAAAAGAATAGGAAGAAGAAGAAAAAGAAAAAAGAAAAAGGAAAAAAGTCAGTATTTCTTTCAACTTCTATTTTTTTTTTTTGGTCTTGAGTTTATTTGATACTCTATTCTTTGCCAACTTTTTCTTTTCTATACTTCCTTTATCTACTTGGTGCTTTCTTATTTTATTTAAGTTTTTTATTTATTCTTTCAAAACATTGATGATTTTAAACACAACTATAAATTTGTCGAATACTATTTGTAAGATTAACGATTTTTTCCCCGCTTTTTTTTTTCTGCATTTATAACACATTTTTGTAGAGTATTGCTTTTTTGATGAAATTAATAATAGTGCAATGATTAGAAGAAAAAAAAAAAGAAAGTTTGATAATACAATGTTTTTATTTTTGAGTTTTTGGGGGTAACAAGAAGAGTTAAGAGAAAAATGTTTTTTTTTTTTTT